TCACTATTATTTATATTCCCCAAATGAATGAGAACATATAATGTTTGTCCTTCTCCGACTGACTTACTTCACTCAGCATAATACCCTCCAGTTCCATCCACATCAATGCAAATGGTGGGTTTTTGTCGTTTCTAATGGCTGAGGAATATTCCATTGTATACATAAACCACAGCCTCTTTATCCATTCATCTTTCGATGGACACCGAGGCTCCTTCCACAGTTTGGCTATTGTGGACATTGCTGCTAGAAACATCGGGGTGCAGGTGTCCCGGTGTTTCATTGCATCTGTATCTTTGGGGTAAATCCCCAACAGTGCAATTGCTGGGTCGTAGGGCAGGTCTATTTTTAACTCTTTGAGGAACCTCCACATATTTTTCCAGAGTGGCTGCACCAGTTCACATTCCCACCAACAGTGCAGGAGGGTTCCCTTTTCTCCACATCCTCTCCAACATTTGTTGTTTCCTGCCTTGTTAATTTTCCCCATTCTCACTGGTGTGAGGTGGTATCTCATTGTGGTTTTGATTTGTATTTCCCTGATGGCAAGTGATGCGGAGCATTTTCTCATGTGCATGTTGGCCATGTCTATGTCTTCCTCTGTGAGATTTCTCTTCATGTCTTTTGCCCATTCCATGATTGGATTGTTTGTTTCTTTGGTGTTGAGTTTAATAAGTTCTTTATAGATCTTGGATACTAGCCCTTTATCTGATACGTCATTTGCAAATATCTTCTCCCATTCTGTAGGTTGTCTTTTAGTTTTGTTGACTGTATCCTTTGCTGTGCAAAAGCTTCTTATCTTGATGAAGTCCCAATAGTTCATTTTTGCTTTTGTTTCTTTTGCTTTCGTGGATGTATCTTGCAAGAAGTTACTGTGGCCAAGTTCAAAAAGGGTGTTGCCTGTGTTCTCCTCTAGGATTTTGATGGAATCTTGTCTCACATTTAGATCTTTCATCCATTTTGAGTTTATCTTTGTGTATGGTGCAAGAGAGTGGTCTAGTTTCATTCTTCTGCATGTGGATGTCCAATTTTCCCAGCACCATTTATTGAAGAGACTGTCTTTCTTCCAGTGGATCGTCTTTCCTCCTTTATCGAATATTAGTTGACCATAAAGTTCAGGGTCCACTTCTGGGTTCTCTATTCTGTTCCATTGATCTGTGTGTCTGTTTTTGTGCCAGTACCACACTGTCTTGATGACCACAGCTTTCTAGTACAACCTGAAATCTGGCATTGTGATGCCCCCAGATATGGTTTTCTTTTTTAAAATTCCCCTGGCTAGAAATACAAATCAAAACCACAATGAGATACCACCTCACACCAGTGAGAATGGGGAAAATTAACAAGACAGGAAACCACAAATGTTGGAGAGGATGTGGAGAGAGGGGAACCCTCCTGCACTGTTGGTGGGAATGTGAACTGGTGCAGCCACTCTGGAAACTGTGTGGAGGTTCCTCAAAGAGTTAAAAATAGACCTGCCCTATGACCCAGCAATTGCACTGTTAGGGATTTACCCCAAAGATTCAGATGCAATGAAACACCGGGACACCTGCACCCTGATGTTTCTAGCAGCCATGTCCACAATAGCCAAACTGTGGAAGGAGCCTCGGTGTCCATCGAAAGATGAATGGATAAAGAAGATGTGGTTTATGTATACAATGGAATATTACTCAGCCATTAGAAATGACAAATACCCACCATTTGCTTCAACGTGGATGGAACTGGAGGGTATTATGCTGAGTGAAGTAAGTCAATCGGAGAAAAACAAACATTGTATGTTCTCATTCATTTGGGGAATATGAATAATAGTGAAAGGGAATATAAGGGAAGGGAGAAGAAATGTGTGGGAAATATCAGAAAGGGACACAGAACATAAAGACTCCTAACTCTGGGAAACAAACTAGGGGTGGTGGAGGGGGAGGAGGGCGGGGGGTGGGGGTGAATGGGTGACGGGCACTGAGGGGGACACTTGACGGGATGAGCACTGGGTGTTATTCTGTATGTTGGTAAATTGAACACCAATAAAAATTAATTTATTAAAAAATAAATAAATAAATAAAAAATAAAATAAAATTCCCCTGGCTATTCGGGGTCTTTTCTGATTCCACACAAATCTTAAAATAATTTGTTCTAACTCTCTGAAGAAAGTCCATAGTATTTTGATAGGGATTGCATTAAACATGTAAATTGCCCTGGGTAACATTGACATTTTCACAATATTAATTCTGCCAATCCATGAGCATGGAATATTTTTCCGTCTCTTTGTGTCTTCCTCAATTTCTTTCAGAAGTGTTCTATAGTTTTTAGGGTATAGATCATTTACCTCTTTGGTTAGGTTTATTCCTAGGTATCTTATGCTTTTGGGTGCAATTTTAAATGGGATTGACTCCTTAATTTCTCTTTCTTCAGTCTCATTGTTAGTGTGCAGAAATGCCACTGATTTCTGAGCATCGATTTTGCATCCTGCCACGCTACCAAATTGCTGTATGAGTTCTAGCAATCTTGGGGTGGAGGCTTTTGGGTTTTCTATGTAGAGTATCATGTCATCGGTGAAGAGGGAGAGTTTGACTTCTTCTTTGCCAATTTGAATGCCTTTTAATGTCTTTTTGTTGTCTGATTGCTGAGGCTAGGACTTCCAGTACTATGTTGAATAGCAGTGGTGAGAGTGGACATCCCTGTCTTGTTCCTGATCTTAGGGGAAAGGCTTCCTGTGCTTCCCCATTGAGAATGATATTTGCTGTGGGCTTTTCGTAGATGGCTTTTAAGATGTTGAGGAATGTTCCCTCTATCCCTACACTCTGAAGAGTTTTGATCAGGAATGGATGCTGTATTTTGTCAAATGCTTTCTCTGCATCTAATGAGAGGATCATATGGTTCTTGGTTTTTCTCTTGCTGATATGATGAATCACATTGATTGTTTTACGAGTGTTGAACCAGCCTTGTGTCCCGGGGATAAATCCTACTTGGTCGTGGTGAATAATTTTCTTAATGTGTTGTTGGATCCTATTGGCTAGTATCTTGTTGAGAATTTTTGCATCCATGTTTATCAGGAATATTGCTCTATAATTCTCCTTTTTGGTGGGGTCCTTGTCTGGTTTTGGAATTAAGGTGATGCTGGCCTCATAGAACGAATTTGGAAGTACTCCATCTCTTTCTATCTTTCCAAACAGTTTTAGTAGAATAGGTATGATTTCTTCTTTAAACGTTTGATAGAATTCCCCTGGGAAGCCATCTGGCCCTGGACTCTTGTATCTTGGGAGATTTTTGATGACTGCTGCAATTTCCTCCCTGGTTATTGGCCTGTTCAGGTTTTCTATTTCTTCCTGTTCCAGTTTTAGTAGTTTGTGACTTTCCAGAAATGTGTCCATTTCTTCCAGATTGCCTAATTTATTGGCGTATAGCTGTTCATAATATGTTTTTAAAATCGTTTGTATTTCCTTGGTGTTGGTAGTGATCTCTCCTTTCTCATTCATGATTTTGTTAATTTGAGTCTTCTCTCTCTTCTTTTTAATAAGGCTGGCTAATGGTTTATCTATCTTATTAATTCTTTCAAAGATCCAACTCCTGGTTCTGTTGATCTGTTCCACGGTTCTTCTGGTCTCGATTTCATTGAGTTCTGCTCGAATCTTAATTAACTCTCTTCCTCTGCTGGGTGTAGGATCTATTTGCTGTTTTTTCTCTAGCTCCTTTATGTGTAAGGTTAGCTTTTGTATTTGAGTTCTTTCTAGTTTTTGAATGGATGCTTGTATTGCGATGTATTTCCCCCTCAGGACTGCTTTTGCTGCATCCCAAAGATTGTGAACAGTTGTATCTTCATTTTCATTAGTTTCCGTGAATCTGTTTAATTCTTCCTTAATTTCCTGGTTGACCCTTTCATCTTTTAGCAGGATGGTCCTTAACCTCCACGTGTTTGAGGTCCTTCCAAACTTCTTGTTGTGACTTAGTTCTAATTTCAAGGCATTATGGTCTGAGAATATGCAGGGGACGATCCCAATCTTTTGGTATCAGTTCAGACCCGATCTGTGACCCAGTATGTGGTCTATTCTGGAGAAAGTTCCGTGTGCACTTGAGAAGAATGTGTATTCAGTTGAGTTTGGATGTAAAGTTCTGTAGATATCTATGAAATCCATCTGGTCTAGTGTATCATTTAAAGCTCTCGTTTCTTTGGAGATGTTGTGTTTAGAAGACCTATCGAGTGTAGAAAGCGCTAGATTGAAGTCACCAAGTATAAGTGTATTATTATCTAAGTATATCTTAACTTTGGTTATTAATTGATTTAAATATTTGGGAGCTCCCACATTCGGGGCATATATATTGAGGATTGTTAAGTCCTCTTATTGGATAGATCCTTTAAGTATGATATAGTGTCCCTCTTCGTCTCTCACTACAGTCTTCGGAGTAAATTTTAGTTTATCTGATATAAGGATGGCTATCGCTGCTTTCTTTTGAGGACCATTTGAATGGTAAATGGTTCTCCAACCTTTTATTTTCAGGCTGTCGGTGTCCTTCTGTCTAAAATGAGTCTCTTGTAGACAGCAAATAGATGGGTCCTGCTTTTTTATCCAGTCTGAAACCCTGTGCCTTTTGATGGGGTCATTAAGCCCATTCACGTTCAGAGTTATTATTGACAGATATGAGTTTAGTGTCATCATGATATCTATTCAGTCCTTGTTTTTGTGGATTGTTCCACTGGACTTCTTCTTAAAGGGGAATTTTAAGAGTCCCCCTTAAAATTTCTTGCAGAGCTGGTTTAATTTCAAAGATTTAAATATGAATTTCAGGAAATAGTTATAAAAAGTCCTATCAGTAGTACACTATTATAAAAATTACAAAAATTCTAGGATCTTTGTTAGGGACTAAAGTGTTTGTATCTTTTCATTTGACTCCTACATACTATATTCAGTAATTACAGATGAATTAACTGCCATTTAATCAAATCTTTCACTGTTTTCTTATCTCTTTTATCTTCCTTTATTTTATGGCTTCTAATAGTCTTTTGTTTTGTTTAGAAAACAGCAAGGCTCGAAGTAATGATTTTGCTGAAAAGAATGGACTTCAGAAATATGAATATGTCTTACACCCAAGAACTACAGGCTTTACTTTTGTAGTAGACCGTCTAAGAGAAGGTAAGCACCCATCTCAAAAGGCGAGGTTTATGTGAGTGGCAACAATTGCTAAACTTTATAGGTAGCCCTTTAGAATTTATGAAGCATTTTTTCATATTTTTTCTCAGGATATAAGATACTGTGGTTTTTTACTAAATTGACCCCATATGCTAAAATGTCTTATTATGTATTCTTTAAAAATATCAGAGATATATTTATAAATTTTTTTTCATCCTCTTGCAATAGACAGAAAACACATACAATTAACTCATATTCTATTTTTTTTTCAAATTTAGAGAATATTTATTTTAGATTTACATTATATATGCTGAAAAATTATAGATGTGTCTCATGTATACATTATTTTATAAAATCTTTACATCAGTCCTGTGTTGATATTAGTTAATTCTCATTTTGTAGATGATGAAAAAGGTGTATTTGATTAATTTCAAGCAGGAATAAGAAATAATTCACCCTACTGCCCTTTGTTTCGATTTGTCCATTGGAAAGGGAAGGCCAAACAGTACACCTATGCCTGAAAATTTTGAAAATGCATTGTTTTTTTTTTTGTTCATATTCTATTTTTAAGGTTTTTTTTTTTTAAAGCACCAAAACTGTCTTGAAAGTATCTTAACATACTATTGCTCTTTATAGCTTGAAAAGTATTTTTGCATTTACTATTTCACTACTCCCAACAAATGATTCTGGTTGGTAGGAAGGCAAGTACTCCTTCCATTTTATAGTTAAATAGAACTGGCATACAAGGAGGTTACTAAATTTCCATAGGTGAGGAATGGAACCTCATTTTTCTGCTTCCTAGTTTGTAGCTCATACTACTATCTCACACTTAGTCAAGAGCCATGTCTATTGATGGGCATATCAGGATAAGGTGGTTCCATTGATGGTATCACATTTGTTTAAATGTTTACATTTTCATATTTGTTATGTAAAATAACCAATTGTACATCTTATTTGTATCTTTATATATTGATACATGTGTAGAGACAAAATAATATATATGAATATATATATATATATATATGGAAAATGAGTTATCCAGAAACATGCTGAAATGTTACTAATTTTACAAGCCCAGAGTCACCTAGTTCAAGAAAAATCTTATTTGCATGTTTCTGCTCTCCACTCTGATTTCTACCAAGCCATATTGTATGATGGTGACACCTATGATAAATTATCACCCTCATCTGATAATTGCTAAATTGTCATAAAACTGCTTGTGGTTAACATGAAAGATGTTCTTGCATCTTCTCTCAATGGCATCACTGTTGTTCCTTTAGGGTTTAATGTACTTTAGGATACAAAGTGGAACTTCAGTTAATGAACTTTGCCAGGATGAGGCATCTTTACAACTAAGTACCCATGATTTAGAAGAAATATATAGTCCAAAATTACATTGGTAGAGTAAACCAAAAATGTTTTGTCCCTGTTAATTTGGCTTTCTCTTGAAATTCTGTGGTAATAACTAATATGAAATGACTTATGGGCTTGATGGTCTTATTGCATATGAAATAGTGTCTATCTACCCAGTGAAGCTCCTGCAGAACACAATTCTTCATGCCTGTGGAATGGGACAGGGAGGTATAAAGACATTCAAGTGGTGGTGGGTTTTTGTTGTTGTTGTTTTTTTTTTTTTGCTTTTTTAATGTGGTGCCACTTAATTGCCACTTAACTGTGGCATCCAGCTTAGGCTCACCCTTCTCATTCAACAGTATGTTTTCTATTTCCTCACTAATCTCACTAAGCTTATAGTATTTAATGATTTCTTTAAGTATTTTTGACATCATGGAACACATTCATCTACTAGATTTCTCTATAAACACAAGCATGTTGTTGGAACACATCTTTTACTAATAAAGATCTTCCTAAATGTAGGCAGGATAATAGATTATCTTACAGTGGATAAGGATGTATCTATAGAGTTCTCTATTCTGAAATCTGGAAGATATTTTAATAGCAAGCTGATTTATAACTTTGGGGAATGCGAGTTACTTAGTCATCACTCAAAGTACTAGTCAACAACCACAGTGTATAATTTTTCCTGCTAGAACTGGCAACTGATTCCACACCCCCCATCAGTGCAAAAAAAAAGAGAAACCCAGATGATTCTATTTACTTCAGTTAGAAAAGAAGAATATATTGTACAACATAATTATAAAAAAAGAAATAGGATTATAACAGTAATAGCAGCTAACATTTATTGAGCATTTACAACATACCAGGCGTTGTGCTAAGTATTTTATATGTATAAGGTCAGTTAAACCTGACAATAACCATTACCATACATGGTAGTTACTGTTATTAATATTCAACTTGTAGGGCAAAACTGAAGCAGAAACTGAGGTGAAGGAGCTTCTCAGAGTTATTCCTCTCATTGAATATCCCACACTCTTTCTATTATAACTTGGTGCCTCTTATATTTGTAGTATGATTTTAGTTAACAGAACCTTCAAATCATAAAGCACTTTTGTAACAATAGTGAACAGGATGGCTTTCCTCAAAAAAGAGTTTAAAAAGAAAAACAAAGAAGCTTAAATGGTCAGATCATGGAGAGAGTACCAAAAGAGGAAGTTACGGTTCTGCCTAAGATAAGGGGAGCAGGCACACCAAAGGAGGCATCAGGGGAAGAGTCAAGGGCAGCTCTGCTCTCAGGAATCAGGTGTGGTGTCAAGTGAGCATAAAAAGTTTCATCAAGGGTCAGAGGTGAAGAGGATCTTTTTCTCTTTCTTTCTTTCTTTCTTTTTTTTTTTTTTTTTTTTTTTAAGATTTTCTTTATTTATTCAAGAGAAACTCCGAGAAAGAGCCAGAGGGAGAAGCAGGCTCCATGCAGGGAACCCGAGGTGGGATTCGATCCTGGGACTTCCAGATCTTGCCCTGAGCTAAAGGCAGATGCTCAACCACTGAGCCACCCAGCTGTCCCAAGAAGTTCTTAGAAACCATCTAGCCCAGAGTACCTTCCCTAGAAAAGGAATTAAAGCCTCAGAAAGGGCCTAACCCAACTTTCTAATCTTTAGGTCCCTGAGATTTGCTTTTGATAATCAATTATGTAAAAAACAAGCTCTCTGTTTTAACAAATAATCATTATAAATAAATTATTCCATTCTGGAGACCACATATTAAAATGAATTATCATAAAATAACATCTTCACTGCTCATGCACAAAACTAAATTCAGTGTTGCTGACATCAGTTTGGCAGTCAGCACTAATGGGCACATAGAAGTTTAGGACATCAAGAAGCTAAGGATGAAGTCTTACCAAGAAAAACTGAAGAAATGAAAATGCAAAACAAGGGAAGTAGCTTCTGTGCCTCTGTTCAGAATATATTTCACTGAGATTAAGAACATTTAGAAAATACACACTTATCCTGAAATACCCATTATATAATGTTATACAGATGTGTTGTTCCTATAGTAGTAACAGCGAGAAATTTGTCCTGAGCACCTTAAATTTCACCATTAATGTGCTTGCTTTATACTCTTATTAGATTATAACCTTCTTGAGGGTATGCAATGTTCTGTACATGGTGACTTAGTCAGTATTAGTTGAGTTAAATTTTTTTTCTTTAATCTAAAAAATAAGACAAGCATAGTGTCCTAGCATGTTCTCCTCAATATATATTTCACTGATTTCTGTTATGGATGATTTCAGGTGTACCTCTAATCACATTTCAGTATGATTATGTAAGTTTTTTCAGTACTAGACTAACCCAAACCCAAAAAGAATTTTCTGACTTAGAGAAAAAAAGACTGTTATATGAGAAAGTTTTTTTTAATTGACAGTTATAATAAATTCATCACATAATTTTAAACTTGTAATTCATCCTCACCAAAATGAGTTATATCATCATCTCTGGTGTTTTGTCATTTTTAACGACAGTTTTACTCTTCTTTGATTTTAAATAAAGATTTGGTCCCATCATTACTTGTTAAATGTTTGATAAGCAATTACTGAGCTGTAACCATGCAAGAATTCCTTTCACCATTAGGCGGCACAAATATGTACATTTGAAACTTGATGTTAGGTTAGAGTGGTTGGAGGTGAGAATAAAATACTTAATATTCTGTGTGAAGGTATGTGTTGTTTAAAATATGACCTTGCCTACAAGAAGTTTACAGTCTTAGTGTGTAAATAAGAATACACATGGAAAAATCTAAAGGAAAAGTATAATATGACATAATTACATGCTAAATTTTATGGAATATCATATATAAATATTTTGCTGAATAATTATAGGAGTGTTCAGCAAAGAGAAATCATATAGTGTTGAAACACTTCTTCAAGAAGCTGCAGCCTCCTTGGACCTTGAAGACTATATGTGATTTGGGTAGGCAGAAAAAAGGATGGCTGAAGGTAGGAGAGGAAGAATACAAGAGAGGGCATAGAGTTTAGGCCAGTATGAGGCTAAGCAGTAAAGTAGTCACAATGAATGTGATTGAGCTGACCACTTAATTGTACAAAACAGACAATAGATAAGAAGGCGGTTTGGAGCCATTGTGGAAAAACTTAACTCCTGCCCCAAAATAATCATGTTTTTAGTCATCCATTTCTAGCTAAAGTTATTCAAGGAAATCACCTCATATGTTAATGCTCTGAAACATCATACAAATATATTTAAGTTTTGGGTTTTAAAATTCCAAGTAAAATAATCCATATTTTATTTTTATTTAATTTTTTAAAAATTTTATTTATTTGAGAGAGAACATGAGCGGGGGTGGGGGCAGGCAGAGGAAGAGGGGGAAGCAGATTCCCCACTGAGCTGGGAGCCCAATGATGGGCACAATCCTAGGACCCTGAGATCATGACCTGAGCTGAAGACACGCCCAACTGACTAAGCCACCCAGGCATCCCTAAAATAATCCATATATATTTTTTTAAGGATTTTATTTATTTATTCATGAGAGACACAGAGAGAGGCAGAGACATAGGCAGAGGGAGAAGCAGGCTCCTAGCAGGGAGCCCGATGTGGGACTCGATCCCTGCACCCCGGGATCATGCCCTGAGC